GGCTGCGGGCGCGCTGCGAAGAGGAGAGCCGCGGGCGCGAGGGCGCCGAGCGCGCCCTGAAGGCGCAGCAGCGCGACGTGGACGGCGCCACGCTGGCCCGCCTGGATCTGGAGAAGAAGGTGGAGTCGCTGCTGGACGAGCTGGCTTTCGTGCGCCAGGTGCACGACGAGGAGGTTGCCGAGCTGTTGGCCACGCTGCAGGCGTCGTCGCAGGCCGCGGCCGAGGTGGACGTGGCTGTGGCTAAACCCGACCTGACTTCGGCTCTGAGAGAGATCCGCGCCCAGTATGAGTCTCTGGCCGCCAAGAACCTGCAGTCGGCGGAGGAATGGTACAAGTCCAAGTTCGCCAACCTGAACGAGCAAGCGGCACGCAGCACCGAGGCCATCCGTGCCAGCCGAGAGGAGATCCACGAGTACCGACGCCAGCTGCAGGCGCGCACCATCGAGATCGAGGGCCTGCGCGGGGCCAATGAGTCCTTGGAGAGGCAGATTCTGGAGCTGGAGGAGCGGCACAGTGCCGAGGTGGCCGGCTACCAGGTAAGGACCCTGAGCACCGCATAGGTAAGGGACGCCCTGTGCTCTTTCCCCGCACATCTGCACTTCCTGTAAAACCGTAGTGGGGAGTAAGGGTGTGGGAGGAGAGGGGAGAGGGGAGTCTCCACTGGAGGCCTGGGCAAACACACGCGCGCGCGCGCGCGCGCACACACACACACACACACACACACAAGCTGTACAGCTTTTTACTGTGAATTTAGTTGCCCAGAAACTCACTTTCCCAGCCCAGTTTCTAATAAGCTTTTTGTGTAGTGTGAAAAATCTAAAAGGACGTCTCTTTCTCAGCAAGCGGTTAAACACACCCTGGCGACCTGAAAAACAATTCCCTACTCCCAATAGGAGTGAGGCCACTGGAGGCAAGTCGCAGCCTCTCCGTGGTCCCAGAAAGTGCTCTTGTGCTCGCTTGCTGGTGCTCGCTCGCTGGCGCTCTCTCGCGATCTCTCTCCCTCCCTCCCTCCTTAGTTCCCTCCCTCCCTCCCCCTCTCTCTCGCTCTCTCTTGCTCTCTCTCCCCCCTCCTTCCTCCTCTCTTTCTTGTCTGAATTTGAAAGGCTTTCTGTGTGCTTCAGAGTCGTTGTTTATTGCTCAAAGCCAGGAACTGCAAAGACCCCAATCCCAATTTCTGGACATTTGCTCTTAAGGTAGAGAGGGGAACCTTTGAGGTGGATGGCGAGTGAGCTATTAGCAAGTGCCCCGCCCCACCACTCCCCAACGCACGCAGTTAGCTTGCCGTCAACCTACGAAGGACATTTCTTCCCAGAGAAAGCTTTACACTAGTTGGCTTTTCACTAGTTGGACTAGGTCAGGGCGCTGTCTATGGTGCTGATCTGGAATTCCTCCCATTTCAGAAATAATGTCTCTCATCTCGTGTCCCAGTTAGGAATCTCTAGGCAATTAACTGCTTGCTTTTTTCACCCCTCCCCCCTGCATTACTAACACATCCATCTTGGCTACCTGCGATCAGAGGTCACCCTGTGGGCAGCATCAATTTTCACTTTCATGGTTGGCTTAACACTTAACAAAAACCACTTAATCTGCTCAGCCATACTGAGGCCTCACTTGCAAATTCCAATTACCTTAACATTTTTTCATGTTAAGTGCACAGGACAAATCAGAAAGATGGTTTCTTTGTTATAGGCAACATTTTCCCTCACCTGTCTCTGGTGAAGGCCCTTTACTCTGGTGCAGGTATTGATTGGATCTTTCCTTTCAACAAAGGCCACTGCATCTTCAGGCTTACTACATAGAACATTTTCGGTTGATAAGTACAAAGAACACAGAGGCAGGGTGAATTGAAAATATTGAAGAGAACCAAAATAATGTGGAAAACAACCAAAATAGAGTGGTTCAGTTTCCAGACACAATAAAGCCTTTTTAATTGAATGACTATACGTTAGAAACTTCAGTCGTGTATTCTAGCTAGGTTTGAAGTTTATGTTTGGCAACATTAATAGGGTATAGGAACATTAATAAAATAGAACCAAGATACAAGACTCTAGGCATTCCCTCTCAGTGAGACCAAAGGAGGATACTGTGAGGGGAAGGATACAAAGGCACAATGCCTCTGTGTCTCTGATCATATAAAATAATATTTATTGAAGAGAAAAAATTGAAGAAAAGGCATGAAATCTCAAATGCACTGTTTTTGTCAGAAGCTAAATCATTGCTATGTTAAGGTTATTTACTATTCATTACATTTGACAAAGGATGAAAAGCCTGCTTGAATTGTTAAATTGGTTAATTTGACATTACAGTATTATTCAAATAAATACTCCTGTTCCGATTCAAGCTCTGTAACTTGAACTTTTCACTATGTGGTCTACCTCCTGAACAATACAATTAAGACTTAATTAAGACTTCATGTTTCCTTCCAAAACCCTGAGTTCAGTTCAGTGGTCTTCTGAAAGAAAAAGAAAAGAAAGAAAAAGAAAATCCATTACACAGAATTGCCCACCAAATTGGGCTATTCTATGTCCCCATTTTGCTTGTTTTAGATTCTACATTCCACCAAGCCTGGGCTCCTTTGCAGTAAAAGGCTTTCAGTGTTAGACAATAGTAGTGTCATCCAGACTTGGTCTACAGAAAACAAAAACCAACAGAAAGTGCAGCATCTGCAGCTTTGCAGTGCTATCCTCACCCGCTGTGGCCTTCAGTGTCTCAGTGGGCCTACTAGAGGGAGGAGAAGAGGAGATCAGACAACAGAAAAGAGAATTTCCTCCCTGTTGGGACCTGAGACTGGGTGGGGCTTACCTAGCATCTGGTGGAAAACAATCTCAGTGTGCTGACCAAGGTGAAAAAACCTCCTTTCCACCCTGAAAATTACCCATTGTTTTCTTGCCCTCTCACCCCCACCCTCCACTCCCCTCCCCGCCCTACACACACTTTCACTGCAGTAATGGGAAACTGCTCTCCTTCACCTTCAGGAATTAATGGTAGGCCCATTTTCCTTTGCTAAGTAAGTAACCCTCTCCGAGACACAGAAAGGCCCCATTAAAGTCTCGCTTTCCCTGCCCCAGAGAGATGACAGCTTATTTGAGGAGACAACTTTTTACACTTGAGAAAGGATAAAGAATGATTCAAGGTGACATAGTAAGTACACAACAGTATATGAGAAGGTGAACCGGACAAGAGGAGGTTTAGAAAGAGCTAGGACTATTGTCTTCAAAAGCCAAATGCAGTCATCCTAATTGGAAAGCTGAAGGATTTTTCATTTCTGACAGAGAAGTTTCCCATCTCCACAGAGCTAGCTGCTTCACCATCTTTAGAGTCTCAACTGTACTAATGCTGTTCAAAGACCTTCTTGGAGGGTACTGGGGGGGGTCTCAGATATGAATTGTAGTCAGTCTTAGAAAGCCAGAGCTTTCCTTGAAAGACCTTGCTGAACACTCAAGATCACTGCTGCTTAATGCTCTCCAGGGAGACAAGCCAAGGCTGCCCTCTTCCCTCCAATATGAGATTGAAGTGCAGCCTAATTAAATAGCAGGAAGGGTCTGACCCCTGGGAGATTGGAGATGGAAATGGCTGCGTATAAATCAATAGCTCGATAGATCTATTTCTGGAATTAGGGTTCAAGAAAGAAAAAAAGCTACATTTGATCTTTGTATTTTTAAAGCTATGTAATCTGGGTTTTGCTTTGTTTGCCCTTCCCTGTTGCATTTAGCTACTGTCACCTGTGCCACCACAATAACTCCTTTATAAAAATAAATTAAACTAGTGGTCCCCAAGCATACTGACACACCAAGGTCAACTGAGAGCTTAAACAAAAAGATTGTGAGGACCACTCCTAACCGAACAGATTCAGGAGTTCAGAGGCGGAGCTACAAATATGCATTTCCTTTTCTTTAGTCATTTTTTACATTATCTTTAAATGGTATACAAAGGGGTTTCAATTCAGCATGTCAATTTGTGTGTACAAAGCATCTTGATCTATATCACCACTTTCCATAATTCTCCAGAAATACGTATTTTTGATGAAAGGGCCATATCTAGACAGCCTTGTGTTCATTTTGGAGCACAATGACTTAAAGCACATATTTTTGTAAAATAGTATATTCATATATATTTAACATACATATATACATGTGTAGATATACATATGTATGTATGTGTGTGTGTGTGTGTGTGTGTGTGTGTGTGTGTGTGCAGTAAACCACGTAAAACCCCTCTTACCTTGCCTGGCTGATTATACAAAGCATAGAGATAGCCCCTTTCCATCAGTACTGTATAGTACTCAATACTGCTTGGCTGGCTGTTTCCTCAAAAAGTTTATGAAATCCACAGCACCGTGTATATTTCCCTTTTTCTACTACAGATGCTAGTGTGGCTTTCTTACAGCCTGCATTCTTCCAGGCACGGGCCAGATGCTCAGCAGTCGACTCGGCTGTCTTAGGAGAGACCCCAGCTGGAGCAGGGTGTGCCTCTCCCCTGTTCCTGCAGGCTAAAGACAGCAGCAGCTGCATGGTTGGGGGCGGGGGCAGACTGCAGTGCTCTGCTCATTTTTCGAGCTGGAGGCCATCTTTGGCAGGGCTTTTGAAGGGCAATGCAAGGCACAGCCTGGTGGGAGGAGAACACAAACAAAGACACCACCAGAGTAGATGAGCTGTTACCATCAGTGGTCTACAGTTACTCCTGAAAGGAGGTGAGCTGTGCTTTTTGCCTACTCTGATCCTTAAAATAGGCCTGTGAGTTTTATGACATAAAAGTATAAGGAAATCTCATCTGGCTAGAACTCAGCTCTCCACCAACCTCTTATTCAGAAAACACAGCTGTGAAACAAAATAATTCTATTTTTAAGAAATAATAGATAAAACATTTATCGCTAAATCACCTATTAGGAAGTTGGTTCTGCCAGTGCCCTCCACATAATCATTCTTACTTCATGTGATTCTCAAAAATGCTTCCTTTTGGGTCGGGGGGGGGGGGGTCTCAAGCCTATAGCAGGAGAGGACTCAGGCATTGTCAGGAACCAGAGCAGTCCATCAGGCCACCTCTCAGGACAAAAAAACCAATAAGCAGCAATATCAATGTACATCTGCTCTTTGAGGCCTTTTAGGGGAGAAATATATAGTCTTAAAAGATAGACTTAAAAGATAAAAAGAATAGAAAAATAATCCATTATTTTCATGGATATTTTAAATTGCCCAGAAAGGTTGCATTATATTTACTAATTATGAATGGAAGATAAGGCATTCATTTTAGAAAGTTTTTTTTTTAATTGAAAATTGTTATCTTAAAAAAAAATCTGAGCTGGGGTGGTGGCTCATGCCTGTAATCCTAGCTACTCAGGAGGCTGAGATCTGAGGATCTCGTTTCAAAGCCAGCCCGGGTAGGAAAGACCGTGAGACTCATCTCCAATAAACTGCTAGAAAACCGGAAGTGACACTGTGGCTCAAGCAGTAGAGCACTTGCCTTGAGCTGAAGAGCTGAGGGACAGCGCTCAAGCCCAGAGTTCAAGCCCCACGACCGACAAAAAAAAAAAAAAAAAAAATCTGATACTTGCTGGGCGCTGGTGGCTCAGCCTATAATCCTAGCTACTCAGGAGACTGAGATCTGAGGATTGCAGTTCAAAGCCAGCCTAGGCAGGAAAGTCTGTGAGACTCTTACCTCCAATTAATCGCCAGAAATCCTGAGCTGAAGAGCTGAGGGACAGTGCCCAGGCCCAGAGTTCAAGCCCAACAACCGACCAAAAAAAAAATCAAATATAGAGTACTAATATTGGGTATTAGTGCCAGGGCAAAATATACAACCAAAGGATGCCAATAAACCCTCTTTCTCATAAAGCATCTTTTCCTGTTCCTCTGTGTAAAAATAGTATTTCTTCCACTTTCTCCTTTTTTTCTTGCTTTACACTTTTCCCCATTGCTATAGTAAAATTGCCTAACCCCTAATGCATCACTAGCAGACTTGCTTGTAGGTTAGTTTAGCCTCAAGCAGCAAACAACAAGTGAAATTTCTTGGTAAAAATTGTTTTAAGAAGCTGAATATGAGCCGAGTGCTGGTGGTTCATGCCTGTAATTCTAGCTACTCAGAAGGCTGAGATCTAAGGATTGGGGTTCAAGGCCAGCCCAGGCAGGAAAGTCTATGAGACTCTTATCTCCAATTAACCACCATAAAACCAGAGGTGGTAGTGTTCGCTTTGAGCTGAAGAGCTCAGGGACAGCGCCCAGGCCCAGAGTTCAAGCCCCAAAACCGACCAAAAGAAGAAGTTGAATGTGGGGATACACTGTTGTAATCACAGAACTGGAGAGGATGAGACAGAAGGAGCTCAAAGTCAAGGCCACCATGGGCTACACAGGTCCTCACTCCATCTCAAAAAAAAAAAAAAAAAAAGCCAGGCACTGATTGATCTAACCTATACTCCTAGATAGTAAGGAAGCTCAGATTTGAGAATCACAGTTCAGAGCCAGCCCTGGAAGATGAACCTTTTGACACTCATCACCAATTAACTAACAAAAAAACAGAAGCACAGGTGTGGCTCAAGTTGTAGAATGCCAGCTTTAAGTAAAACTGGTCTTCAATGTTGAATTGAAATTCCTTTGTACAACTACTTAAATATAACTTTTTTTTTTTTTTTGTCAGTTGTGGGGTTTGAACTCAGAGCCTGGGCACTGTCCTTGAGCTCTTTTGCTCAGGACTAGTGCTCTACCATTTTGAGCTACAGCTCTATTTCCGGTTTTCTGATAGTTAATTGGAGATAAGAGTCTCCTGGACTTTCCTGCCTGGGCTGGCTTTGAACCACAATCCTTAGATCTCAGTCTCCTGAGTAGCTAGGATTACAGATTTGAACCACTAGCACCTGGCAAAATTTTTTTTTTCAAGTTGAAAACTGGCCAAGAATGTGAGGCCCTGAATTTAAGACCCAGTACAAGCAAAACAAATAAAGGATAAATACACAAATTTTCAAAAATTCTATTACATTCTTGTGATCTCTTCATTCTGAAGTATTTGCATCATAGGCATTTCTTTCATTGCCTTTTATTCTTCACTGTGCACTCAAGATTCAAGAGAGACTCTCCTTTGCATTGTTCCTATCAACATTTATAGAACAGGTAGGTGGCATGAATTTTAATTCCTTCTGAAAATTCTCTTGATTTGGCAGTTTGCAATCCTAGACCTATCAACTGAACTTCTAGCACTGCTGCATTACCCCTACTCCAAGGGAATTACAGAGGCCTTCAATACTTGCTTTGTTGGGGTTTCTGATTTGTTCATCAACATTCATATTTCATAAAAATAGCTCTTAGTCTACAAACGTGCAGCTGAATTAGATGGGCTATTTGCTCACAGCTTTTGAGGTCATAAGAAAAGAAGTAGTAATAGCTGGGTGCCGGTGACTCAGGCCTGTAATCCTAGCTACTCAGGAGGCTGAGATCTGAGAATTGTGGTTCAAAGCCAGCTGGGCAGGAAAGTCTGTGAGACTCTTATCTCTAATAAACCACCAGAAAACCAGAAGTGGCACTGTAGCTCAAGTGATAGAGCACTAGTTTTGAGCTGAAGAGCTAAGGGACAGTGCCCAGACCCAGAGTTCAAGCCCCATGACTGACAAAAAAAAAAAAAAGGTAGTCCAACCAAAAAAAAAAAAGCTGTTGGAGGAGAGTTATATTATTTGCTGGTTTGTGTGTGTGCACATGTGCGTGCTGGGGTCCTAACTTTGGGACTTTGCTTGTTAGGCAAGTGCTCTACCACTGAGCTACATTTTTAGCTCTTGTTAAGAGATCCTTCTGGCTGTTCAATGATCAAAAATTTATCTTCATGCCTTCATTTATTTTCCATGCCTTGATGTATACCTGGAAGAATTTGGAAACAAATCATCATATGAACTTAGTGTATGTTTGTGGGTAGGTGTATATATGCATACATATATGCATACATCTGTATGCATATATATATATATATATATGTATATTACAAGTGTTTTCATTTGAATTGAAAAAGACCACTCCTTTTTTGTAACATTTCTGCTTCATCCTTATCATATCACTTTCATGTATCACCACATCACTTTCATAAAGTGATTGAACAGCATAGTTCCAGGAAACGATCAAAATGAGGGAGAGAAGTATATGTGCCTTGTGGTAGAAGTTTCCAACCCTTGTCATGCATCTAAGATGCATGGGGTAAATCCTACCCCATGGCAAATGAATCAGAATCAGGACTGTTAGACAGATCTGGATGTAAGTATTTTATTAATCTGTTTGGTGGTTTTACTATCAGGATGGAGAATCTTTGTCTTATGGGAATCTGTCTGAGCAAATTTCAACTACTTTGGCCTAAATATTTTGGATGTGTCCCTTTTCAGGATAGCATTGGTCAGCTGGAGAATGATCTGAGGAACACCAAGAGTGAAATGGCACGCCACCTTCGGGAATACCAGGACTTGCTCAATGTCAAAATGGCCCTAGACATTGAGATAGCAGCTTACAGGTACTCCTGAATCAAGCTCACCCAAGCAAAGCACATGCCGTCCCAGGGCAGGGCTACCTGCCTGCTAAGTACTTATAGTCTCTGATTTCCTGCCCACTTGCCTTCTATTTGGATATACCACCTTCACCTTACTAGTCCCAGAATATTGCCTGTAAGGGCTAAAAGGGATAGAGTGCTAAGGGCTAAAGGGGTTAATGGAGGTACCCAGAGGTTAAAATAAAAATTCATCAGATCAAGCACTAGTGGCTCACACCTGTACTCCTCGCTATTCAGGGGTTGAGATCTGAGGATTGAGATAAAAATTCAGCCTGGGGAAGGAAAGTATGTGAGACTCTTATCTCCAATTAACCACCAGAAAACCAGAAGTAGTGCTGTGACTCAAAGTGGTAGAGTGCTAGCCTTGAGCAGAAAAAGCTCAAGGACAGTGCCCAGACCCTGAGTTCAAGCCCCACAACCTACCAAAAAAAAAAAAAAAATCATGCCAGGCACCAGTGGCTCATGCCACTACTCTGGAGGTTGAGATCTGAAGATCATGGTTTGAAGCTGCCTGGAGCAGGAAAGTCCATGAGACTCTGGCACTGTGGCTTAAGTGGTAGAGCGCCAGCCTTGAGCAAAAGAAGCTCAGTGTTCAAGCCTGATTTCAAGCCCTAAGACTGGCAAAAAAATAAATAAAATAAAAATAAATCACTGGGCTGTAAGTTTTAAAATAAGGTTTATCTACTTAGAAAAGTCCTGAAAGTTAGCTGGGGGTATGGCTCAAGTGGTAGTAGCTTGCCTGGCAAGACTAAAGCCCTGAGTTCAAACCCTCAAACCCCAGTGCTGCATATCCTTCCCCCACCCTGAAAACTGACATTTCTCTCTGGATTCCTATTCATGGAAGGATGACAGATCTCAAGTTCAGGCTGCATTAAGTGGTTCCTACCTCCCTTATGGATTTAGCACCTCTTTATCCCTGTAGCAGTTAAGGCGTAAATTAGAAAAATTACTTCTCCCTAGAGCTTAGTAGACTCCAATTGTCAAAAATGGGTGTGATGTGGCCACGGGGCGGGTTGTTGGTTTTCCTTCAGGAACATATTTGAATGTAGCTGATCCTGAAGATGTGTGTGTGTGTGTGCACACGTGTGTGTGCACACGCGCGCATGTGCAAGAGCTTTTGAGCCTTGGGATGCAACATTACTAGTCTCAACCGTATAAAGTCCTTGGGAATCTAAATAAAGAACAGCGAATGGAGAATTACATTTTATTTTATTTTTCTAGTTATTTTTTTCTAGTTAACAAGTGGACTTCCTGAGAGTTTTTCTCTGTTGGATTTACAGGAAGCTGCTGGAAGGCGAGGAGACAAGATTTAGCACCAGTGGATTAAGCATTTCCGGGCTGAATCCACTCCCCAATCCAAGCTACCTGCTCTCTTCTAGAGTCCTCAGTTCTACAAGCTCCAAAGTCTCATCTGCTGGGCTGTCCCTTAAGAAGGAGGAAGAGGAGGAGGAGGCTTCTAAGGTAGCCTCTAAGAAAACCTCTCAGATAGGGGAAACTTTTGAAGAAATATTGGAGGAGACAGTAATATCTACTAAGAAAACTGAGAAGTCAAATATAGAAGAGAGCACCATTTCAAGCCAAAAAATATAATCCTGCTGCTAAAAAAGTGTTAATGCTTAAGGGGGAATAATATGCATTTGACTTGTTAACCAGCCTACTCCTGAACCGCAACACCTGTCACCACTCCTTAGCAACTTCAAGGCTTCTCATATTTAGTATTACATACTTACTTTGATAGAAAACCACCCCTTAGATGGGATCAAACTGCAGTCCTGGAGCAATCACAGAAGAGTTATCTAAGAATACAGCTTTCTCACCTAAAGCTTAGGCTTCACAGTAATGGAAGATTTCAGGTATAGAAGAACACATGAAGGTGCTAAGTCTAAGTGGTCCTGGTCATCCTCTGAATGAAATTGAAACTTCTATCTGCTCTAACCAGCCATTGCCAAGCTATGTAGTCATACTGTAGATACCCAACCATAAGATCACTGCCAGAGATAAACCGATGATCCACATCCAATTCAACCAATAGAACTGAATTACAAATGATAGGTGTTTGTTTAATGGACACTTTCCTTCCCACTGCCCTCAATTTCATGTATTCTTTTTCTTCCATCCGGGTGAAAAAGAAAAGGCTAGTGTAGTATTCTCCCCTTTTAAAACACAGTGAGCTTCTCAGAATTTACTCCCTTTGACCCTCTTTGCTCATTCGATAAAGTTAGATGCATGTCCACCATTTCTGTGACTTGTGTAATGAGATCCCTGCCCATTTCATGTGTCTTTAAATTTATAGGCTTAAAAAAATGGCAGTGATGAATTCTTAGGATTTCCCCTGACAAATGATGAGAACACTCCCTAGATTTTAGGCTTTGGGCTTATTTAAATCTACTTAATTAGGGGGAAAATGACTTCAAAGAATGTAGCTTTTCACTTTAGCTTTTAGAAGCACGATAATAGTCATCCCAAGCTGTGATTAAGCTGACCTTAGATTTAGTAGTGTAAGTTAGAAGAAGTGAGTTCTTCTAGGAATGGAAAAGGCCAAGGGTCTCCTCTGTGTCAGTTCCTGTGTGGTGGTGTAGAGTTAGCTTTCCCATGTTCTTGCCTTTAGGATCCATGAATTTCCCTTCCTGATAGGTTTCCTTCTCTAGGTCCACAAGAGGCCTTGCTTCCACTCTCCTATGCCTTTTAAGAGTGCTAAGTGTAGGCTATTCTGTCACAATGCTACTGTCCAAAAGTGGAAAAGGGAGAAAAAAAAACCACTTCTGGTCAATCAATACCACCAGCAAATATTTAAAAAAGAAAAAAAAAAAAAGATCTTTCTCTTCTCCAAGTCTTCCCAACAGTTTGCTGCATGGTTTGCTGCTCAGTTAACAGGTTTCCTTTCCCATCTGGAGAGGTAGAAAACAGTCCAGGGAGTCAGCTGTTCACCTGCTCAACTGTGTGGCACCACATTGCCCTGTCTGCCACATGTACCAATTTTAATGCAGGATTCATTCCCTGGCAGTGCTCAGTGCTGTCAGAGTGAAGTTGCCCTGCCACACATGATGCTTTGCTGAACTTGCTCATTCTCACACTTGCTTCAATAACTCAAGGAACTTGACACTTTTCTTCCTTTCCCTGACCGGTCCCTGTCTTTACGCCTCACATTTACTGTAAGACTCTAGTAAAATAAGTTAAAAGTCCTCTGAATCCACCTATGGAACTTGTGTTGTGTGGTTTCTGCTGTTTTGCTGGGTAGTGTTATTTGGATTCAGGAGGCCATCTAGCTCTGACTAATCCAGGAACATATATGGAAAATTCTAAGCATGGAAAATATTCAGAATTGAAAGGCAGCCGAGCACTGGTGGCTCATGCTTGTAATCCCAGCCACTCTGGAGGCTTAGATCTGAGGATTGTGGTTCAAAGGCAGCCCATGAGTCTCTCATCTTCAGTTAGCTACCAGAAAACCAGAGGTGGCACTATGTCTTAAAGTGGTAGAGCACTAGCTTGAGCAAAAAGAACTCAGGGACAGTGCCCAGGCTGAGTTCAAGCCCCACGACTGACCAAAAAAAGGCAGAAAGGGGAAGGGAAGCCAGCAATATCACCTGTTACAACATGACAACAAAATGAGTCCGAGAGATGGTAGGAAAGTCTGCCTGAAAAGTAGACCAATGATCCCAGAATAACTTACTGCCAGTTCTAGAGCCTGAACTCAGGGCTTGGGCGCTATCCATTAGCTTTTTCCACTCAAGGCTGGTGTGCTACACTTGAGCCATACTTCCACTTCCAGCTTTCTGGTGGTTTTAATTAGAGGTAAGAGTCTCATGGACATTTCTGCCTGGGTTGGCTTCAAACTTCAATCCTCAGATCTCAACTTCTTGCTAGGATTATATGCATGAACAGCGCCCAGCTCGTAAGACTCTTTTATCTCCAATAAACCACCAGAAAAACCAGAAGTGGTACTATGGCTCAAGTAGTAGAGCCCTGAGCTGAGAGCTGAGGGACAACGCACAGGCCCAGAGTTCAAGCCCCACAACCAACAATAAATAAGCCCAATCTCAGACTGACAAGATTAGGACCCTTTTCTAATGTCACACATCGAATAGCAGACCTGAGATTCAGACCATTGACTTGTATCCCACTTCACAAACACATGCCTTCCTGATGTTGCTCCTTTGCATAAAAGAAAGTGCCTACTGATAGTGGTGGTAGATGCTGTAGTCCCAGCACTCACAAGGCTGATGCAGAATTGAAATTTGAAGCCAGCCTGGACAAGACTGTCTCAAAAAACTTCATGTGTGTGTGTGTGTGTGTGTGTGTGTGTGATGGAGTGTGAACTCTGGGCCTGGGCGCTGTTCCTCAGTTCTTGCCTCAAGACTAGCACTCTACCACTTGAGCCACCGTGCTACTTCCGGCTTTTTGGTGGTTTATTGAAGAGGCTCACTGGGAAGGTAGCTCAGTGGTAGAGTGCTTGTCTTGCATGCACTTTGATTCCTCAGCACCACAAAAGCAGTAAAAGCCAGAAGTGGCGTTGTGGCTCAAGTGGTAGAATGGTAGCCTTGAGCTAAAGAGCTGAGGAACAGCACCCAGGCCCAGAGTTCAGGCCCCATGACGGAACAAAAGAAAAAAAAAAGACTCACAGACTTTCCTGCCCTGGCTGGCTTTGAACCATGATCCTCAGATCTCAGCCTCCTGAATAGCTAGGATTACAGGCGTGAGCCACCGATGCCCAGCTTAAATATCTTTTTTTTTTGGGGGGGGTTGCTTATGTGGAGCTGAGGAATGGAACCCAAGGCCTCATGCATTTGAGGCAAGCACTCTACCACTGACCAACCTCCCACCCCCTTAAAAAACTTTTTTAAAAGGTGCCTACTTGGGCTGGGATGGTGGCCTAGTGGTAGAGTGCTTGCCTTGCATGCATGAGGCCCTGGACTCAATTCCTCAGCACTGCATATGGAGAAAAAGCGGAAAGTGGCGCTGTGGCTCAAGTGATAGAGTGCTTGCCTTGAGCTGAAGAGCTGAGGGACAGTGCTCTGGCCCAGAGTTCAGGCCCCATGACCAAAAAAAAAAAAAGTGCCTATTTGAGCTAGGAACAGGTGGCTCACACCTTGTAATCTTTAACTATTTCAGAGCTGAGATTGGGAAGATCTGGTTCATGACCATCCTAGGCAGAAAAGTTTGCAAGATTCTTCAACTGAGATCTGGGCATGGTGGTGAGGTCCTGTTTTCCTATCCACAACAGGAAGCCTGAAGCAGGTAGATAGTGGCCCAGGTACATGCCATAATAAGCAACAAGACCCTATCTCAAAAGTAACCAGCATAAATTGGGCCCTGGTACCTCATGCCTGTAGTCTAAGCTATTCAGGAGGCTGAGTTCTGGAGGATACTAGTTGGAGGTCAGCCTGGGCAGGAAAGTCTGTGAGACTTTGTCTCCAAAATAACTATCAAAAAGCTGGACTTGAGGTGTGCCTCAAATGGTAGAGTGCCAGCCAGGAAAGCATAAGGCCTTAAATTCAAAACCAATACCACCAAAAAGGGGAGGGGCAGTAGAGGCATGTCTCAGCAGAACAACTACCTAACAAGTCCAAGCCCTTAAGTTCAAACAGCAGTACTGCCAATTTTTTTTTTCCTAAAGTGCCTACTTTAGGGAGGAGGTATACTTCTTACCTACTTTTCCACCTTTTCCTCACCAGGCTTTACTTGCAGGTTTTCTGTACAGAGGCCCTTGGCAAGTCTAACCAGGGTCCCTTCTGTTTCTGTTATTTTGAGTCCTTAACTTCCATTTGCCACAGGGAGTGGGGAATATTTCTTTTTCTATTTCTCCTTACTTTAACCCTGTTGTATTAAAATAAATCTTTGCTAAAACTTTAAAAACAAAAAGCAAAGCCCATTGGAATGAAAAACAAGCATTAACAGTGGATTGTTGTCAGGGCTGGAGAGGGAGCAATGGCACGTGACTATTCACTGAATAAGGGGTTTCTTTTTTCTTTTTTGCTGTGAGGACTGCAGCTTGAACTGCTTCTGCTTGGCTTCTATCAAAGCTGGCACTCTACCACTTGAGCCACATTTCCACTGCTGGCTTTTTGGTGGTTAATTGGAGATAAAGAGTCCAGACTTTCCTGCTTGGGCTAGCTGTGAAGCTTGATCCTCAGATCTCAGCCTCTTGGGTAGCTAGGATTACAGGAGTGAGCTATTAACATCCATTGGTTTGGGGTTTCGTTTTAGAGAGAATAGGGGTTTCAAGTTAGAGAAAATTAGAGTGCATGGCTGCAAAATATTTAAAGTGTACTAACCACTATTTTTACCCCTTATGTTCTTTTTGTTTTGTTTTGTTTTGTTTTTTTGGCTGTGTTTTCTTTTTTTTTTTAATTTTTATTTTATTTTATTTGTGAACAAACTGTACAGAGGGGTTACAATTGCATGGGCAGGATAATGTGTACATTTCTTACCAAGCATTGCAGCCTCCTCCTTTGTTTACCCTTCCCATCCCTTCCCAGCCTCCCCCCTCCCCACCCCTTATGTTCTTTATTTAGAGACTGCTCTTTAGTTCAGGCTGCTGGGTTACAGGCATGGACCACAAGATTCAGCTTCTGAATCATTCACTTTGATTTTATGCTATGTAAACCTCACTTCAGGGAATTTGTGGAATTATCAAAAAAAATGCCAGTGGCTCATGCCTATAAGCCTAGATACTCAGGAAGCTGAGATCTGAGGACTGCAGTTCAAAGCCAGTCCAGGCAGGAAAGCTGTGAGACTCTCTAATTAACTACCAAAAAGGTCAGAAGTAGTGCTGTGGCTCAAGTGGTTGAGTGCTAACCTTGAGCACAAAAGCTCAAGGACAGTGCCCAGGCCCTGAGTTCAAGCTCCAGAACTGGTGCATGTGTGTGCATGGCGCGCGTGCGCGCAAAACACACACACACACACACACACACACACATACAATGTCACTGAAATATACTGTACCTGATGCCCC